TCTGAAGAGACACAACCTTACAAAATGACACACCTCTTGAAATAATCTCTATGAAGAGACATATCCATTGGAAAATAATTATAAAAAAAGTCATGATTTTTCATATGAAAAGATGCACATTTTCATCTAAATTGATCATAGAATATTTCATAATATTCCACATAATTTTCCACCAATCCCAAGTAATCAAATTAGGACAAATTACATTTTGTCATATTCTTATGCAAATATAATTTTGCACAAATCATCCCATTTAATTTTATTGAAGTCAGAAATTTAACTAAATCATCACATTCAGACTTTTCCAGATTTAAAGGAAGTTCGGCACCATTGCCAACTTTAGGCACAATTTGTGCTATGCAAAGCATTTTCATATCTTAATATTTTCGCAACAATTTTCACCAGAACAAATCACAATTTGTCATACTTTATGCAAATATAACTGGCATAAAAGTCATCTCACTTAATTCCATAGAATTAAATGACATTAATCAAAGTTAGTATAATTTCAACAAGATATTAAAATATAACTAACTAATTTACTATTTCATATTTCATATTCCAATAAAAAAATAATCATGAAAGTTCATATACTTTCACAATTAGTTAGCATCTATTCCAGTAATATTGAAGTTGTACCAATGACCAACATATATAAATCCTATTTAAATATATACATGTCATATTATTGATTAACAATTGCAACCATGTGCAATATATAATACTTCACTTTCATCTTATACTAAACAAATGGATGGTATGGATACTTAAGACACAATTCATATAATATTATAATAGTTTCTCATGTATGCATCAGTTCTTAAGAGTTGCACAGAACCTCATTGAGCATAAAACATAAATCGGTGTCGAGTTTATGCAATCAGATTTTATCATCCAATCCATTTAATACTTTATTCATGCAAATAGAATAATGAAAAGTATAAATGCACGAAAACAAAATTCATCTTAAAATTGTTGGGGAAATTTACACCGATTACGTGCATATTATATTCACAAAAGTATATTGGTTATTTGCGTGAAATCAAAACGTAATTTCGACTTACCGAAATAGGATTTGAGAAGCAAAATATAAAAGTTACCGAATCTGAATGCATGGATATGAATTCATCCCTTTCGATTTTTGAACGAAAGCAAATTATTCTTTTGATCGAATCTTGCAACATAAACATGTAAACAATGTTAATAATTTCCCGAAATCAAAATATAATAAAAAGAAATCAAAAAATTGTAGGAAGAAAGATGCAAGTGATGAATTTTTGATCGAAACAAGTGTTTGACACTTGGTCCTTAAGATGAATTTGCCCGCATCGGTGCTAACGATTTTTCGACAATCATCTCCCAAGATACAATAACCACGTCTAGCCATAGGAGCACTCCAAATGACTTCGACTAGCGAATTCGAACGGAATTCCCTCTCTATCAAGGAAATGCATGAAAATGTTATGGAATTAGAAATGAGAGAATTGCAAGAGGAGAATAAATGCTCAATGCAATTGGTGTACCCAAAATCTTGCCCATAGGGTTCTATTTATAGATGTAGAAATGTTGCAAATGAAGTAATGTGGGTCAAAACATGCATCCTTCCAAAAAGTTGCAACACTTGGCCAAAACCTGCATCATTTCGAAAAGTTACAACACTTCATTTCTTCCAAAATTGGTCCGCAATTTTTCATTTATCCGGAATTGGTTTCGAAATTCCAAGTATTCTCCGACGATCTACTCGACTTGTAGAATAAGTTGGTCTATTTACTTTTGTAATTTGACCATCGGATCAAGTCCGAATATTTGGTCGAAGTTGACACTTAGTCATACCTTTTTATTTTCCAATTTTACACACCATTTCATTTTCCAATTTTTGGTTAATTATTTGAACCAATTCCAACAATACATTTTAACATTATGACTGGAGCTTTGTACACTTTACGATTCATGCTCAATTAACGATCCATTCAAAACCTCTAGAATCATGTGGATGGAAAGAAAATTTATTAGAAGAACCTTCCTATTTATAAACTCATCATCATATTTTTGCTGAGAAAAGTACATGGGATGAACTTACACCTTCATTAGTTAGGCAGTTTCTTTTGACACGACAATTGGAACACACGATGCTTGTTTAGATTTTGGAGGCATAATTCTGTAAATCGAAAATGTATGAGAGTGGTAAGGTGAAAATACAAGTGAAATGGTTCTAAGTAAGAAGAATATGGATAACTAAACTGCATATGTATACAAAATATACATGAACAAATAATTCTCCATTTGATAATAAATTATTTATAAATTGGTCAATTTTTTTCAGTCATATATTTTAATGGATCCACAAATATTAAATATTATCCATCACTTTTTTCTATCTATTTATAAATTAAACCCGTCATAATTCTAAATGGATTGTAAGATGTACGCGCATATATACTTTAAGTTAATGAATCACCATATGTGCATAAGAATGTTATTTTTTTATGAACTACTCCTGTAGAGTAAAAACCAGTTGGCCTAACTTCTAAAGTTGCTTCAGTCGGAAGCCATCAATCCTTTCTTTGCCCTACAACTATGTGTTGTAACTTCTTCGTCCATATTTTAACTGGATAACCTTCTCTTGCAAACAATCTAATTGTCGCTAATATCGGTAATGTCTATTTAAAGAAAGATGATTCTATTCTACTTAAACTTAAACACAAGCCAATTGCGCGGGGAACATACTAATCCATCGATTGAACTTGCATTACAATTCAACAATAACGGATTGAGTTCTATTGGTTAGTCAAATGACATACATACATACATACATATAAGAGATGAAAGAGGGATGCTATCCACTTATCAATCATTAACTTTTATCTATTTATTAATACTCCAAACATGGCCAAGTATTTTGAATCTCCTCTGTCTTTCTCAATTGAACATAAAAGAATAATTTGGCAAGACTATTTGTACTTTATCAATTTATGAAAGCTTATCCATACATTCCACATACAATTTGGAAAAATTGGATCTATGTTCAATGGATCACACCTAGTAAGAAAAAGTATTTTATTTTGGTGGTGGTAGTCAAGTGCCCCATTTCAAAACAATTTTGAGAATTGATTTTTTGACTGTTATGAGAAAAGTGGGTGCCACCTGTGAGAGAATAAGTCAAACTATACGGCTGAAATAGTGAAATAATGGTCAAAAAATCGTTTTTTTCAAGTGAAAAATCACTCCCAAACACCCTCTAAGAGAATTTGTCTTGAAAGGATAAAAATAAATTCTCAACCTTTATTGAAAAGACTAAACCTTATGGAAAGTCATAAATTTGAGTTTGCCTTTGAGACGCTAAAATTATATATAAGATTCTTCAGTACAAGAAGGATAATTGTAACCCCACCATTAATTATTTTATTTATGAAATTCCTAGTAAGAGAAATACGTGTCCTATTGAAACAAAATGTATAATATGCTCTCCTCTTACTTAGCAAACGAAGATTTACTGCCTTAACTTATAACTAGTTATTTCATTTAACAACAAAAATCGTTAGTTTCGCGTGGCTCATTTATTCAAGATATTACTTATCATACACTTTCTCGTAAAAAAACTATATATTTATTTGTATACGCATAAAACATCTCATTCTTGAATACAATTTTTAAATTCAATATTAATTTAAACTAAATTCATAATTATGTTTATTATCATCCAGAATCACTATCATTTAATTTATAAACGATGAATAAATTTGCCAAAATAGAGTAATGCGACATTTTACAGCCCTTTTCATCTTTGCCCATTTTAACAATTATCTTCTTAACCTCTTTCGTCAAATTTTTCATTAATTAGTACTTTTTATGCTTGATGATGATTCAAAAAATTTTTGTTTTCATGCTTCAAAGTGAAAAATATTATTTCACACTTTTATTTTTTTTAAAAATATAATGAAAAAACAAGTTGTTTTTCATCATTTTCACGGATTATTGGAAATAAGACTGTTATAAACTACAAAATATATTAACTAATAAAAAGTTTGAGAATAAGAATGGCAGGAAAAAATGTCAGCGACATAACTGCTATAATGATGAATGATTAATAAATTTAAGTACAATTATAATGCTTATTTGGTAGGAATTTTGTTAATTGATTTTTTGACCGTTAGAGATAAAATGGGTTCTACCTGTGAGAGAAGAATTCAAAAATAATGGCTGAAATAGTGAAATAATGATAAAAAAATTGATTTTAATTGAATTTTAAACTGTACCAAACATGCCCATAATGTGGTGCAAGAAATAAGGAAATTTTATTTGTCAATATGGGAACGGATATTACTTGGATAACCCTGACGAACACAAAACGGGTTATATAGAGGGTGTTTGAGAGCCATTTTTATGTAAAAATATATTTTTAAATAGTAAATTGATGGGAAATGTGTGGTTGAAAAATAATAATTTTTTTAATTTACGTGTAATATTATTTTAATAAAAAATGTGTGATTGAAAAGAATAAAAAGAAAAAAAACGCATTATAAAAAAATAGGTACCAAACGCGACCATATTACATTTACAGCCAATAAAAAATCATACATGTCACAGCGTACTAAAAGGTCATTTCACATATTCGTAATGTCCAAATAGTTTACTATATATTTAACAAATTTCCCCAATTTCCTCACTGACCCATTTTCTCCTTCTAACAGTGTTACGAAGGAAAAATCCAACAAAGAAAAATTTGATTCCAAATGCTCATAAAAAAAAATTGTCCCGACTTTTCTATTCACTACCGATTCTTGGAAGGTATCGTGTTTTTACATTGCATTTGATTTGAAATCTTCTTGGAAAAAATTATTGAATTTCTATGATTGTAGTTCGTTGTCTGTATATTGAAATTCAACCTGACGTTTATTTATTTATTTTTTGAGTGTATGCTAACTGAATAGAGATTTTATTAGTTAATTTGTACGTGGGTCATCTATTAGATCTTTACGTTATAATATTGTTTGACTATCTGTTGTTTCATCATTCTTGTTTGCTGGCGTGTAATCTATCGTTTTGGAGAAACCATCGGAGTTGTTTATTGAAATATGCATTGTTTGATTTGTCAGTGTTCAGTTCTAATTTTAGTTTAGTTCATTAAAAGTGAACCCTAAATATTTTCCTGCGGGTACGGAGCTGCTTGCTGATGGTTTGAAACTGTGATAGGAGGGAAAGTGATTTGGGATAAATTGACAGCTGTATTGGAGCTGAGTAGAGAAGTTATAAGATTACGATACTGGGTTGAAAAATGATATTCATATGCAGAGCTGATGAACAACAGTCTGTGGCAGTAGGAAAACCATAATGAATTCTGCTCTCCATTTCCAACAAATGAATCTAGGCTGATGGAGTTTAGCTTAAAATAAGCTTTTGGTGGTTATTGCCGTAATTGGGCTTTACTTATTTTTAATTTGCGCTTGCAATATCACGCAATGAGCCGACTGCCGAGTATTATTTTTGATTAGCATAAAACGAATGAATATTCACCAAGAAGGTGGGTGAAGAAAAGATTTCCTCGATCATTTGGATTTTATTTATTTATTTTATTTTTCCCATAAACAGTAGGAGACAAATCAAGCGAAACTTTTGCAGCTGTATCCGCTAACTGTTACGTGGTTCATTATCGACAATCATCAGCATTTATTGAGTTGATGATCAAAGTTACGGATCTCCAGAGAGTTAATATTATTATGTACTTAGATATTTAAATGCATCATCATCATAAGCCCTTTTAGAAACTTAAGCTATGGAACAGAATATATTACCGGTCTTGTCATGTCTCTTGCATGTGTGAACTTCGACTTTCCTGATTTGATACCTTTCAAATATTTGGCCATGATGTTGTTGATCTATATTAACCCTGAGGGGTAGCTCAAGTTTGCTCCCCAATGGTCATCAGTTCGAGTCCCCTCAGGGCCACTGAGATGAGTACCTGAAAAATTTCAGGGCCCCGTGGAATTAGTCGAGGTGCGCGTAAGCTGATATAGACACCCACGATCATATAAAAAAAAGAAGATGTTGTTGATCTTTATTTTTCCTAAATAAACCACTTAGGTTCAGTAAGAAAACTCATCATGGAAGGTTTGGTCGATTCACATTTGTCAAAAAGATGTTTTTGGAGATCGATTGTCACACCACCAAAGGTTTTTTTTTTTTGTTTGCCTATTTGTCGACGGTCGAACTAACTAGAGGCTCATATTGCTGAATGTGTTATCGTTATGCTGAGAGCCATGATTGTCACGTGCACAACGGTGCAAATCGTAGTTCATAGTTTTATTGAATATCTCATGCATGCCTCATTTCATAGGATACATTTCCAAGTTCCACAACCTGGATATGTTGGGTTTCCCAAACCAATTAAGGCACAACTCATTATCACATTTATATAATAGGTGATAATGCTTATATCTGTTCCTTTTTTTGGCACAGCCCATGGGTAAATTTCCCGTCTTCTGCACAATGAAGTATTTTGTACCATCACATTGGACAACATAAAATTTTGATTGATCTATCTTGGTTCATGCAAACATTGGCAATCCATATGCTACAAGAATTTTTACCTGTTGTCTACTGTGCTAGTTTTTTCACCTCAAACATGAATTGACTTCGGTTTGGTCCTCTTGGTTTAAGATCTATGAAAGCCTCTTGATCTTGTTGATTGTATCATTTATAATGTTGGAAAACTGTATCTACTGATTGTGCCCATGCAAATCTAGGTGCATCTGCAGCTTTTGACTAATTAAAGTGGCATTTGTTTAGTTATTGAATAGTTTCTGGTTGAGAGACTTAAACGTGTTAAGAAACAAAAGGATTGCCGTTAATCTCCCAGTTAACACATGAGACCTGCCTACTTCATCTCATACTCATGGTTCATGGTTATGTGTCTGATGAGTACACAAAGGATGTAGGATGTCATGTAACATTTTACATATTCATCCACTCATGACGTGATGGCCACATTTTCTCATTCAAATTTATAATACTTGTGAAGTGCTCAATTTTAATTGCTGGTGAACGAGATATAATTTTTGTACAAACTATGCAAGTAATTTTAAGATCAGGTTACGAAGGATAAGTTAATCAGGTGAGTATATGGTCTTTGTATGCTCAATTGGTATAGCAAGTGTTGGCAGCCATCATTTGTAAATTTTTTGTATCTCTAACTCCCTGGGGGTAATATATCTCCAAGATTTTCTTGTTGATTAAGTTTATATTGCATAATAACCTCAAGACTTGGATACTTTTTCATATATGTACATTAATAATTTATTAGGGGCTGTTAGTTATTTAACCTTTTAATGATATTATAGTAGTATAAATAATCTATGAAGAAAGAAATTAAGCCCTTGTTCGAGCCTCATTTTATCAAAAATTCTTTTTTTTTTTTTTTTTTTTTTTTTTTTTCAGAACTCATTTTCAACCACACATTCTCCAAAAAATACTATATTCCAAAATACACCCCCTTCCCCAAAAAAATGGGGCTCAAACAAGTGCTAACTAAAATAAAATGGCCTTGTCACCTCGTGGCACTTGGCCTATGCTTCTTGTGCAATTTGCCTACTACAGTAACTGTAAGATGATTATTAAGTGAAGAAATTGGGTTCTTTACCTCTTGGCATTTGGCCTATGCTTTCCTTGTATTTTCGTTAAGTATAGCATCTTCTGATGGTCTTATTTGGAGTTTTATGTCTCTCTTTCTGGCTGGCTCTAATCATCTCCTTAAATGTTTCTTTGTTGAGCATGCATCCCTGTATTTATAAAAGGAATCCTGTGAAGGAGTGGTTTTTGTGTTTCAGGTTGCACATAACTCATGGATCATAGAAAGTGCACATCTTTTGTCGACGCACCTTCTGTGAGTATGGGTACTGTAAATTTTCTGAATAAGGTATGTGGAAAGGCGCAAGTTGAAGATCAAGAAGATCCTGTGAATCACGCCACAGCAGCGGATGTGGATGTTGACCTTAGAGAAGTTTATTTTCTAATTATGCATTTTCTATCAGCTGGGCCATGCCAAAAAGCATTTGGGAAACTCTGGGATGAACTTCTGGAACATGAGCTTCTACCTAGGAGATATCATGCTTGGTATTCGAGAAGTGGTTTTCTAAGCGGGGATGGAAATGATGATGGAAACTCGTTTCCTCTAAATTATGATAACTTAGTTGGAAGGTAAATATAGATATACTAGTCTGATAAGATTTGAACTATAAAATTAAATATTCAGTTCTTGTGTCCACTAGCTTAGGTTGCTCGATTTTTGTAAAGATATGGTGTAATTGCAGTTTGTCCTCTTGAAAACATTTGACACGTGTTTACATATTTTAACAGCTGCTGTTACCGAGGTGAATAGCGATTTTCTTTCACACCTGACAATGATTCTGTAGTTCCTTATTAGTTTGTCTAAAAAAAATGGCCGACCATTAAGTGTCGTGCTTTCTCTTGAACAAGGAATTTACTGGTCTTAATTTCCTCTCTGAAAGCCTATAAAGTTTTTCATGCCATGAGTATGACTTGACCTGATGGATTTTATCTTCACTCACAAGAGGTTCTTTTAATTTTCGAATTTTTTTTTTTTAAGCATCGTTGTTAATTTCCTGGCAAGGTTTCATTGGTCTTGCAGTTATATTTTGAGCATTACGGCCCTTGAACTTTACCAGGTATGCTCACATTGAAAAAGATCACTTGGTGAAGCTGCTCAAACAACTGATGCTGATCACATCTCCTCCACTGCGGGACAGGATTGGAAGAACTACCCCAAGTGCTGCTGATGTTCCTACATTACTAGGAACTGGGTCCTTTTCGCTGTTTCCATGTATGTGAATTTATTGTCTTTTAACTTTTCCATTTACTTCTTTCATTATATGGAGAAAATTATCCAAAAGGGATTGTGGTTCTAGATCCTTGCGAAATCCATTTTTTATTCCCCTTTCTTCTGGAGCTTCCATAAATTGAGCTCGTTGTGCTGTTCTTGTGGGGGAAGGAAAATGATTCCAATCTCTTCTCTAGTTAGATGTTGATTCTTGCATTCATGAGGGCTCCCGCATACAACCATCTGCAGTAGTGACACCACTTATGGTGTCCGTCTGCTATTTTTGACTCCCTCTTCCTTTTCCATATCTTGCATTTTACTGTTTTGTCTTTGTCCAAGATTTGGAACTACTAGTAAATAGTACTGGGACATTGTTTCTTTTCACATTTTTCTCCTTATTTCTTAATTAGTACATGTTTTTCTTTTATAATTATCCTCGCTAAATTATTGTCAAATTTGTAGTAAATGAGTTCAAAACCATAATTGACAAAACCTTATAAATCTTTACAAAGAATTTAAATATATTTCATGATTTTATAGTAAATACTTGAAGAGAAATATTGCGATATGAAAAAAATTTGTGGAAGTTCAAAAATGGTTCATAATATCTTAAGAAAGTTTGAAATATTTGTCTAACTTTATTATTTAATTGTGTTCATATAATTACAATATAAAGAAAAAAATCTTATACTAATATTATAAATTTAATCTAAAAACACATAGATAGAGAGTCATAATTGAAATAAACACAAGGTGTTGTTTGATTAGTTTTGAATTTCTTCTTTTTTTTTGTCCTTTTCTTTCTTACACTTTTGGCTCATTTTTTTAATAAAAAAATTAATTTTGACAAGTATTATTGAAATATCACCACTTTTTTCAAGAAGAGTAAAAAAAATGAAATTAGCTTTCTTTAATCAAGTAATAATATCCTTATTTAAATTAAAAAAATAAGAAAAAAATTTGTAGAAAAGAAAGAAAGTTTCAAAACTTTCAATATCATTTAATAATTATTGCAATCTAGCATAAAGTCGAAAGGGCAAAAGGGAAAATATATATTTGTTTTTGCTAGACTCTGGAGATTTATGTTATTTTGAAAATGGAGGTGTTAATGCAGGTATCAGTGTAAGTTTCTCTATTATTTTCATTAAAATTTTATTTGATTTTTCTGTCGGACATACAATGGGACCATTGCATGTTATTGTACTCTCTGTTGTTTCCAATCTTAGTTTTGTGGTTTTACATGCCTATTTGCACGAGAATAGGGGAGGACCTCTTCATGTACTTGCACAGATTGACCGATATGGCCTTCCTAGTATTAGAGGACATTAGTTTTCATTGCACCTGTTGTCATTGTATAGGAAGTAGTGCTACTTCATTTATCTCATTATTTCTTATGCTGCAATGGGTTGTTTTTGGGAGACATGCCCCTCTTCCTTTTGTTTGCTTGAGTTTGATTCTATATACGGTTGGAACATCCTAACCCCTACAAACTTTTTTCGGTGGAGCCTGCAAACTCAAGAGATTGTATTGATGTCTTCCTAAAAATAATAATAAATAAATAATAGAGTATTACACAATTCATACCTTTTTGAGTCTAGGTTTCAACTGTCCATTGCTGATTAAGCCCCGTTTGACAACAGCTACATATTCTCCAAAAAATCACTATTCCAAAACTTATTTTTCCTAAAAACACTTTATAATGGTTGTCAAGCAGGGGCGAAGTATTCTCGACCAAATGCCTTAATTACAGGCTTATTGAATGCAGCTTCCTAGCCCATTTCTTCTCCATAGAATGCAAGCATCCGGAACCAATAGATATACATATGCAGATAAATCCAAGTACATGCACTCTATCAATGCTGAGTCTGTGAATCTTATGCATGTTAAGAAGTATGTTGGATTTGCTCGTAGCCTGTTACGTCAACATTGTGATTGAGAAGTCTGAGGGCGATCTTCCACCTGATGTCAATTCAATTTTCCTGAGTTTAATCTGTGATGAACATAATAATGACTGAAAGAAATTTTTGTACCAGTTTGGTTTTAGTTTACTCATTATAGAAGTCCAAATTTCCCCTGTAATTATGCAGTCTTGATCAAAGTATTTCGTTTGTCTTCTTAATTTGTTCTTCAAGTTATAAAATTCCAGTGCCTGCCAGTATCGGCTTTGAACTTGGTGTTCAATTGTTGTCTGCATTTGTAAATATGTTTTTCTATGTACCTTTGTTATATCCCAATCTTCTGATTATGTATTTCTACTCTGGTATATTCTATGCAGGTCATAATAAAGTAAACAGGCAACAGACGTATTTGCCATCTTACCTCCGCTGGCCTCATATGCAGGCTGATCAGGTTAGAGGGTTAAGTTTGAGGGAAATTGGAGGTGGCTTTTCAAAACACCATCGGGCTCCATCTATTCGCAATGCATGTTATGCCATCGCTAAGGCATCGACTATGGTGCAAAAGATGCAAAATGTGAAGAAACTTAGAGGGCATAGAGATGCTGTCTATTGTGGTACATTTATATTTTTACTTGGCATGAACAGTGGGCATTTTGCTCAATCCAGTTGTTTAAATAATATTACAGTTTTTATCATGTAGCAATTGCATCAAGAACAGTAGCAAACTAAGCCCATTTCTCTGTAAATCATGTAGCATTTGAGTCCATGTGAATAAATAAACTGACATGGCAAATGTTAATAGTCAAGTGAATGATCATTTTGTCCAAAAAAAATAAATAAATAAATAAATTAATAGCAGAGCTCTTATCGTTGTCACGAGCTTAGTTTCTTTCAGTACAATTGCAATTCGTATGAAGCCTGCATTACTCATGTTATGAACTGCAATAGACAATTTGCTACATGCTTTTCCTGTTTTCTCAGCAATACTTGATCACTGTGGTCGATACGTGATTACTGGATCGGATGATCGTTTGGTTAAGATTTGGTCAATGGAAACTGCATTTTGCCTTGCCAGCTGCCGGGGACATGAAGTAAGGAAAAACAGGGAATATACGATATGATCTTTCATCCGGATGTACATTAAATATAACTTTGTTCTTTCTTCACTTTTTGGTTTGTGAAACAATTACCAGGGTGATATTACTGATTTGTCGGTTAGCTCGAATAACGCTGTAGTGGCATCTGCATCAAATGACTACAGCATTCGTGTTGTAAGATTCTTTCCCCCCGAAACATGATATTGTCCTCCTTTGCTTGTTGAGAAGTGAGTAGTTACCCTGCATTTTTCTGCAGTGGCGTTTGCCCGATGGATATCCTATTTCTGTTCTTCGGGGACATACAGGAGGTGTGACTGCCATTGCATTCAGTCCGCGACCTTGCTCTGTCTATCAGCTCTTATCGTAAGCCTTGTATTACACTTGATCTCCCTGTTTATACTTTATTTTTCAAAAGCTAGATGTGATGAAAGTTTGAATAATTGATCACTCTTCAGTTTTTCTATGTTGGTTAACTAGTATTTCTTTGATACAGAGGTGGAAGCATGTGTAGTAAACCATGACATGCCTAAGCCTATTTGCATTTACATCAGACAAGTTCTGACTAGTTAGAATCCGCTCCTTGTAAGATAAGGATTGAGATTTTCATTTGGAATCTTGATCTTGGACTTACTGGTATGGACGTATGGTAACTGTTTATTGGGTTCTTTTGTATTGTCGGGTCATAAATTTTGAAGTTGAAATTTTAAATTAATGTACACAAATAGATTGTCTTTCTCTCTTGCAATTAGTGTCACTAGAGAGAGAGTTGAAAGCATAAATGAATGTTATTTTTATCCAGTATTACCTTTTTTGTCTTTCTCCATAACTTATTGTTGAATGTCCCAGTTTTTCCCACATGATCTAACTGCTGCTCTGATGTAGAAATTTTTTGATCTTGCTGTGTTGATACTTCTTGTTGGGTCCATTAGGATCTATTTTGAGATTTCTTGTGTTTTGATCCTGTAAAACACTTTTATTACCAGTAGCTTTCAAGTGATAGTTTGATCATATAATTGTTCTGTCCCCATGATGTTGTCAATAGATCTATTCCAGCTTTCAATTACTCGAGACTTAAATGCTTTCTATTTACCTAGAAAGTTGGTGAAATTATTAAATCAACAGGTTATTGTTTCTGGAATTGGACTTCCATGAAAATAGATTGATGGCAATGTAATAGAACATACTTTTGCTTCATTCTGTTGTACATGGGCTGCTCTCTCTTTGGCCCTAAGATAGTTTCCTTTACTGATGAAAAAAATGTTCTTATTTCCCTACTGCACACATAGCTCCTTTTCATAATCCTGAAATTCTGTTTCTTGGTTACATGCCTTTTTCATAATTACGTAGTACTTAATTCACCTGACTTATAATATTTGATTTCTTTTGAGATCATATTTGGCTGAATATGATTTGCAAGCTCTTTTCATTACTTACTTATTTGGTTTGCAGAACTGTTAAAATTCCAAATTTATTACACGGGCCAACTTCATGAATTTTGCTTTCTTAATCCATACGCTTCAATATGAATAGGTCATCTGATGATGGAACCTGTCGAATCTGGGATGCGAGATACTCCCAGTGCAGTCTGCGTGTTTACCTGCCAAAGCCAATCGATTCTACTGCTGGTCAGATGATGTATTGTATATTTTCTAGCTGTGTGGGATTGTAGTTGCTTACAGATTTACAGGAGACATTCTGTGTGCAGGAAGGAGCAGTGGTCTGCAATCAGCTAGTGCATCGTCAAGTAATGGCCTGCAGTGCCATCAAATATTATGTTGTGCGTTCAATGCTAATGGGACTGTCTTTGTCACTGGCAGTTCTGATACTTTTGCAAGGGTATGATGAAATATGTAAATAAATCAATGTGCCTGGAGTTCTTGATTGTAAAAAGTGGACGAAGATATGACTGTTTGATACTTGGTGCTTGTTTGGATAAAATTATAAGTTGTTGAAATCATAATGTGATAAAGCCCCTGTTTGACAATCATTATTTGGGAAAAACAATGGTTTGAACAGTAATTTTTAAGAAAATGTGTGGTTAAAAAATAGAAAAATTTCGATTTTACATACAGAATATTTTATCGTATGAATGTGTACTTGAAAATGAGTATGTAGAAAAATGAGTTTTAAAATAATGGTTGTCAAACAGGGGCAAAAATAAATGGTGAATAAGTGGGTGGTAGTTGTGGGACCTACAAAATCTGTAGTTGAAATTGATATTTGAATTTGACCATTTAATTATAAGGGAACTATAATGTTTCCAAGACATGCACTTGATGATGCTATTCATCACTGAAATGCCAACACAAGGAAATAACAAAACTGAGCATATGAACAATGACAACTTCTCAGCAAAAATCTGTTCCTTGTGTATAGATTTCTACATGTGCTACTAGCGAACGTTAACGGGTAAATTAGTTGATTTTGACATGTTTCATTCTGCTTTTTATTTTGATATATATTTTACATGTTTATGTATTTATCTATTAAGCTGAACTGGAATCATGTGATGATGTTCATAGTTTTCGAAAGCATATGGAGGGAAATTTATTTATGAATTGATCAAGACCATTCTCTATCTGGCGATCTTTATATTTTCTGGTTATTTTCGTGTGATTGCTAAAGTACAATATGTATTATAATGTCATACTATGCTTGCTTTGTAATTCTTCATTATCTTGGCTTTGCAAGAGAATTTACCATAGATTTAATTGAAGCGAATTCTTTAAAGGTTTACGTGTGCAGGTTTGGAGTGCTTGTAAATCCAATTCAGATGATCCAGAACAACCAAGTCATGAGATTGATATACTAGCGGGCCATGAGAATGATGTCAATTATGTACAGTTCAGGTAAGTATGTCTTCACTTAAAACCCCGAACCTATCTCACTGTCTTATCTGCTACTTTCTTGTACAGTGGCTGTGCTGTGGCTTCACGGTCTTTGCCATCTGATTCCCTTACGGAGGAAAGCATTCCAAAATTTAAAAATTCCTGGTCAGATTATTGTTCATTTTCTAATTTTTGTCAACTATCAACTACCATTCATTGACTTTCATGTTGTTTGCTTCACTTCTTGTAGCCTAGCTTAAGTGTTCTGCCTCTCAATGATTCATGCTACTTGAATCTTAATGAACTCAGGTTTAGTCATGACAACATTGTCACTTGTTCACGTGATGGCAGTGCTATTATTTGGATTCCTAGATCCCGCAGATCCCATGTGAGTTCTTATAGTCTTGGAAAGTAGCAAGACTTAGTATTTGAATGGAATTTGGTTTCACACAATTGCTTTTAGTTGTTAATTCTGTTTTACCAGTGAGTGTTCTTTTACTTGGTGATAGCAGTTGGTTTCCTCATGTTCTAGAAAATTTGCCTATTCAGGGAAAAGTTGGACGTTGGATTCGGGCATATCACCTTAAAGTTCCTCCCCCGCCTATGCCTCCTCAACCTCCTCGAGGAGGTCCACGTCAAAGATTTCTTCCAACTCCTCGTGGTGTTAATATGATTGTGTGGAGCCTAGATAATCGTTTTGTGCTTGCTGCTATCATGGGTATGCTACTTCATAGATGTTTTAGTTGATGAGCTTATATTTACTTGCTTGTCCTAAGCTCTTGAGCTTTTACAGATCGTGTGTTGGAAACTTTTATGTTTGCTTATGTAACTTGTGGTGTTAAGACTGAGTTTGGGTGTACAGACCTAGAACCTGCATCCTGTTTGTAATGGTAGCTCTTATTAGAGATAAAAGATGGTTATATGCCTAATAGCTCAAGGGTATACTGATGTAGAAATGCAGTATACTGCCATTGTTGACACATGTATCATTGTGCTGTCCTTTCTATCTTTTTGTAGGCTTTCTTTGGTATTGCAATCTGTATTAGCACTTCGTAGATTTGTAAACATAAACAATCAATGTAGGAATTACTCATGATGCATGCTGACTGCGAGAGAGAAATTTTTGTCATCTCTTTTGAAGCCATGTCAGTGATAATAATTCCATGCATTTTTTGTTGGAGCTCTCCAAGCTTTTTGGAACATTTTGAAAGTAATTGCAGTCCTTCATCTTTCCCCTGTCGTTTAAATGGCCACTTGTTCCTTTTGGCGATTGTATTTTTGTTGATTATTTACTTTCTTATTAAACTAAGCTGCAGTCTTCCTTATTGGTGTTTATTTGCTGTCTTATGAATGCTTTTATTAATAATTTTGGTTCTTGGACTGAGGGGAAAAAGCAAGTACATGTGTTAAGAAGCCAACCCGTCATTCACTTTGAAAATTATGAAGAATAATTTTTATGACTCGTTCAATGGTACAGTTGGAAAGCTCGTTGAAATTGTTGATGTGATTTTTCAACTCGTCTACAGTTCTATTAAGATTGGTTCCTTCCCCATCCTCACACGGGTGTTTTACTTCTACATGGCTACAAGATATATTAATCTTCCATATTGATTATTCGTTCATAGTTTTGGATTTCTGACCTGAAACTCTTTTTGATGTTTCTCCTTCTTATTGAGTTCCCTTTTTTCACAGTCATTTATGTTCTTTGGGTTTTCTTTGTTATGCTCACCTGCATATGATTCCCCTATTTATTGAAGAAAGAGCTGTTTCATGGTTTCTTGAATTTGAAATCTTTGTTAATCTGTGAGGAATTTTTGCAGATAACAGAATATGTGTCTGGAATGCTAGTGATGGTAGCTTGGTGCACTCTTTGACTGGTCATACTGCATCTGTAAGTATGGTCCTACTTCATTAGATGAAGTCTTTAAATGCTTGAATGGTTTCTACATGCATTAATTCATATGTTCTTGAAACCGGGGAGAGTAATGGAAGCAAGAGACCACAAAACAAGAACTTAATTGTTGCATTAGTCTCAGCCGAATACAGCCTTTTATAGGACTAAAATACCTACCAAATTCAAATATATGCTAAATCTAGAAATAAGGAAAGAATATACATGCTGTCTATAATTAAAACGGTACGTAAGGTAACAAATAAATCATCAAATCTGCATCCATATTCTGAGATCTTCAACACTCCCCCAAGTTGGATGATACAAGTTAAATAATCCTAGCTTGTCCACCATTTTTTCACACATGGATTTAAACAACCCTTTTGTTAATAAGTCTGCAGTCTGTTCTGATGAGGGCAAGTATACCATGCATATTGTTCCATTTTCTATTTTCTTTTTGATAAAATGTCTATCTACTTTTAGCATGTTTAGTCCTGTTATGATGAACAGAATTGTGTGACATTGCAATAGTTGCCTTGTTATCACAATAGACTTTCATTGGCTTATTTCCCTGAACACCAAGTTCATCCAACAGTAACTTTAACCATATTATTTCACAAATTCCATGTGCCAAAGCTCTGAATTCTACTTCAGCACTGCTTCTGGCCACCACTGGTTGCTTCTTACTTCTCCAAGTGACTAGATTTCTTCATACGAAGGTACAATAACCGGTTGTAGATCTTCCGTCCATTACTGATCCTGCCCAATAGCATCGGTGTAGGTTTCAATAGATCTTTCAGAATTCTTTCTAAAAAAAGTCCAAGATCAGGAGTCCCTTTTAAATATATCAAGAGTTGATAAACGGCTTCCATATGCTTCGTAAATGGAGCATGCATAAATTGACTCACAACACTAACTGCAAAAGCAATGTCAAGTCTAGTATGAGATTAGTAAATGAGCTTACCTACTAGGCGCTGATATCTTCCCTTATCAACAGGTGTGCTTCCTAAGCAATCTCCTAGTTTATGATTGGGGTTTATAGGAACATCCGCACACTTGCTTCCTAACATAATTGTTTCTTCTAAAAGGTCTAAGACATATTTTCTTTGTGAAATGGAGATTTCATTCCTATTCCTTGCAACCTCCAGACCCAGAAAGTATCTTAAAGGGCCTACATTTTTTTATCTCGAATTCAGCTGAAAGAGCTTTCTTCAGTCTCTCCATTTCTTCATAGATGTCACCTGTCAGAACTAAATTGTCCACATAAATAATTAGGATGGTAATTTTTCCGTCCGAGTTCCTATAGAACATTGTGTGATCAGATTGGGATTGCTTATATTTTTGTTGACATGCAACTTTCATGAACCTACCAAACCATGCTCATGGAGATTGTTTTAGCCCATGGAAGGATTTCTCCCGTTTACAAACCTATCGTTGTACCTTGGCTTCATCAAACCCAGGTGGAAGTTCTGTATATGCTTCTTCAAAGTCACCGTTCAGAAAAGTATTTTTGACATCCAGTTGTTGGAGTTTCCAATTTAGATTCGTTGCTAGTGACAAAAGAACCGTCATTGTGTTTAATTTTGCAATTGGAGCAAAGACTTTCTGGTAATCAACTCCATATTTCTGAGAGTATCCCCTTGTTACTAGTTTAGTTTCATAGCATTCTATTGATCCATCTGACTTGTATTTAACTGAAAAAATTCATTTGCACCCAACAGTTGACTTATCCTTTGTTTTTTTCCACAATTTGCCACGTTCTATTCTTATTTAAGGCTGTCATTTCATACTCAACTGCCTTTCTTCATTCCGGAATTGACAAGGCTTCGTGAATAGATTTTGGTATCTTAATTAATGACAGATTTGCAGCGAGAGCTTGAACCGATCTGGATATAAGATTGTATCTGATAAATTTGGAGATAGGATGCTGTGTGCAAGATCTAACTCCCTACATCCAAATTATTAGTAGAGTCATATTGTGGGATAGACAAATTAACTGAGTTCAGATCGGATTCATGGTTCTGCTGTTGAACTGTGAGATTTCTATTTTCTCTAGATTTTTCTTCTTGGAATAAACACATAGCTCTGGTGTTATTGCAAGTTGTTTGTCTCCCCCTGTTATTAAACTTGGTTGTACAAGGGAATTAGTGTCCTGTTGTTGTGGGTCATCATAGAGTGAATCAGTGGATGAAGTTGTTTTTGATATGGGAGGTTTTGATTCTTCGATGGGTGATATAGGTAGCTGTGGGGTAGTTTCCCAAAAATTTTATCACTATTGTGTTCTTCTCCCTGAGGGGAATTTTGAGGAAAATATGGAAGAGATTCCAAGAACGTAACATCCATAGATATGTAGTACTTATGAGTAGTCGGGGAATAACTCTTTTAACCCTTTTTAGTTGGAGAATATCCTAAGAACACATTTTCTAGCTTTAGGGTCAAACTTGGTACGTTCATGATCATGGATATGAGTTAAGACAGTACAGCCAAACACCTTTAGAGGCATAGAAAGTATTGATAGGATTTGGGGGTATACATGAGAACTGCATCTTTGAGAAGATTTTTGGAACCCTACTAGTAAACATAAGAGCTCTTGCAATTTCAAGAAGGTGATGATTTTTCCTTTCGGCAATTCCATTTTGTTGGGGAGTCGTAAAACGCGAACTTGATGTAGGATCCCTTTTTCGATGAGGAAATTTTCCAACACTTGATTGAAGTACTCCCGCCCATTATCGGTTCGAAAATTTTTTATTTTTGCATCAAGCTGGGTTTGAATCATAGAGTAAAAGGTTTTAAAAATTTTTGTGCAGTTTCGGACTTATCTTTTAATAGGCAAACCCAACATACTCTAGTCTGATCGTTCGTAAAAGTTATGAACCAACGTTTGCTTGAAATACTCTCAATCCTAGAAGGTCCGCACAAATCGCTATGTACTAAAGTAAAAGGTGACGAGGAGTTATAGTCATGAGTTTGAAATGAAGCACGCGGATGTTTGACTTATTGACAAATATCACAATGAAAAATATCTTTATTGCGAAACAATAATGGAAATAAATGTTTAAGATATGAAAAACTATGATAACCTAAATGACGATGCTACAACATTATTTCTTGTTCTCGAGTGATTCAAAGCTTGTAGTTTGAGCTTGTTTATTCCAAAAGGCATCCTCCAAAAAGTGGTATAGTCCCTCACATTCCTTAGCATTGTCAATCCTCTTCCCCGAAGTCAGGTCTTGAAAAATACACAGTGATTCAATAAAGTTGACATTGCAGTGCAAATCTTTAGTTAATTTGCTAATAAAGAGAAGATTGCTGGAAAGATTCGGAACATGTAAAACAGATTTCAATTCAATATAGGGACTGAGTCTAATAGTTCCAATTTCGGCAATCGGGGAGAGTGACCCATTAGCTATTTTCACTTTAAAATGTCCAGGTCAGGGTGAGTAAGAATGAAACAATTTTTCACAGCCTGTCATATGGTCTGTGGCACTCAAGTTAATAATCCACTGTTTAACATTGCTCTTGCTTGTCAATGCCGACATATATTTACCTTTTTCAGCCAATGAGCTGGAGGATGGTAGTGTAGGAGTGATAAGTCTGTATAATTGCTCGAGTTGCACCTTGGTCGGTGAGAGAGATATTATTGGGCTGGGCAGCGGCTGGAGGTGGTTCTGCGATGCTCTGGAAACCGGAGGAGCATGTCGAATTTTCCTCTCAGTGAAACTGAATTGGCCTCCCATCATTCCGGGTCACTTGCTTTATGTTCGGCGGTCTCCCATGTAGGCCTTAACATTGGTTTATGGAGTGATTGCTTCTCTTATAGTGTTCACACCATGAGCCATTATTTTTCTTGGTCACATGGGCTGATTCTTTTCCACAGCATCTAGTGCCAAGTTCTCCAATGAAGGCTGCTTGGAGTCTCCAAGCATTACACGCTTCTGGCTGGCTTTACGGCGTACTTCAGCAAAGATCTCATCAATTGTCAGAGTTGGTTTGATGCCCCCTCAGACCTCATCCAATTCCGGAACTAAACCAACCAAGAAGTCATAGATTCTTTCCTTCTTCACCTGTTTCTTGTACTTTTTAGCATCTTTGGCCGTGTCCCAATCTATTTGGACAAACATGTCAATTTCCCGCCATAGCCATTGCAGGGAATTATATTACCGGGTGTCATCGTGTTCTCCTTGCCGTAAATATTTTGCCTTGTTTCTAAGCTCTAACAGTTGGGCAGAATTATCCAAGTCTGAGAAGGCAACGGTGAGTGCATCCCAAAGCTCCTTTGCAGTAGAATAATACAGATAGGATCCTCTAATTTCTTCCTCCATTGAATTCACAATCCAAGCCATAACCATGGAATTCTGTGCATCCCAGGTTGCATAGGCTGGATCACTTTCATCTAGCTTTATTGCAGTTCCAATCACGTACCCAAGGCGTCCACAACCACGTAAAACCATAGGGGCAGATTTAGACCACTGGAGAAAATTCTTACTGTTCAGCTAAGTAGTGGTAAGTTGGAGAGGTGTTTTCAGATAGGGCAGTCATGGGGAGATAATTAGATGTAATGGGTGCACTTGTAGTGGTAGGTTTCGAGGTTGCTATGGAGGTCCTCGAATCCTCTTCTCTACGTGCACCATTCATGGCCAATTTTCCCATTCCACTATTCAACAACCCTCGGCTCTGATACCATGAAACCGGGGAGAGTAATGGAAGGAAAAGACCGCAAAACAAGAACTTAATTGTTACATTAGTCTCAGCATAACTGCCACGCGTTTTATATAACGTGATTTTTACCGCAAGCGCACGGTGTCAAGTTTTGTAGTATGTTAAAGAATTAAAAAGTGTCGAACCCACATGGATTGATAATCGACTTCCACTGAGTACTATAATTGTGTCCGCGTTTACTTTATCTACACAATCGAGTGTTAAATTAATATTTGAATACTAAATTAACGTCAATGAATTAAATAGTGCAATAAAAGTGAGGCAATTTCTAAAGATTAACTCAATTTTACGTAATGTCTAGGGAGTGATTTCACCATATTCTCGACATAATTCTCAATCCCTATGGATATTTCTATCAAATATTTCCCAAATTCATAGGCAAGAATCCTAAATTAATTCTATTTCCCCCTCTCGAGCGTCAAATAGAACATATCTCTATATTTTAACCCCAATATCTCTATTCCGAATTAAATCTATAAAGATTATCACGTACTTGGTTCTTGTTTTACCTTCAAAGATTCGTACTTTCTCTCGAAACCTACAAACCTAGGTTATATTGTTCTTAGATCACGCCTAAATTTTCCTCTCTCGAGCGTCAAATTTAGAACATCAATTCATTCAATTGGTGATCAGACAAAAGAAAGCATTAAGCAAGAACGATATAAATTCAATTCTGGAAAATTAAATAGAAATACTATAAAGAAATTGAATCATGTTTCAAATAGGTTACATCAAACCCTAGATTTAATAACTTAGCTCATGATTGAAAAGAAGAACATGATAAAACACAAATTAAATTTCATGAAGAAGAGAAAGATAAGAAAAAACTCAGGTTGTTGCTCTATTTCTCAATCTTGTGGCTTGATTCTCAGTTTTTTTCCTTCTTCTTCTCCAAAATCCATTCGATCTTCTCTCAATTAGTGTATATCCTTGCCTCCTTTCTTCAGCCGTCCACCCCCTTTTTCCTGTTCTTTAGCTGAGTATTTATATTTTCTAAGGGTCCTCAAGGGTTAGGGTATGATTTTTGGGTTGAAAAGATACTTAAAAACCCGAATTTTAGTGTTTTGGATAGGCGCCATGCCCAATGTTCTGCTTCTTTTTTCTTCCTTGGGCGCCGTGGCGCCCAGGTTTCTGCTGGCTTTGTCTCCCTTTGGCGCCCCTTTTTCGGCGCCGTGGCGCCAATGCCACTGCTTTAATCCTCTTCTCTTTGTTTTTCCAAGCCTATTTCTCACTCCAATCTTATTCAATACTTGCTTATTCATGCTCCATTTCATTGATCATCATTTTTGCTCATCACCGGCTCCCAATAGTGATATTTTTTTGAGAATTGTCCAAACTGCAAAACATCACTAACACACACATCAAAACGTTCAAAAATGCTCAAGAACACATCAAAAAACTCGATTTAGAAGCTTTAGTTTAATGAGTGAATTACACTCATCAATAACACAGCCTTTTATAGGACTAAAATACCTACCAAATTCAAATATATGCTAAATCTACAAATAAGGAAAGAATATACATGCTGTCTATAATTAAAACGGTACGTAAGGTAACAAATAAATCATCAAATCTGCATCCATATCCTGAGATCTTCAACAGTTCTCTATGCTTCGCTCTCTACGTAGTTTGTGTTCAAATTTATTATTTATAGCTTACATTGTCAAATAAGTCTTGATCGTTCAACTTGTGGGTTTCAAATGTCATTATATATCTTCCTGTAGCTGACATGGTACATATTAGTTCAAGTTTGGTATGGAGTAATGTTGCCTTCTGAATTATAGTGCATTTTTGTGTTGGAAAGATGAAAAAGAAGAACAGATTATTTAATTGCTAAGATAAAATGCAATCCCTATATAATAGTATGAGGGTTATTAAAAAATGATAAAAATGTGGCTGTGGTGAGAAACAGCATACAGTTTCAAACGGATTCCTATCTCATTTTTTCTTGTCACTAACTCCTCAATCTATTGTTTTGGTTCGACAATCGTCCTTGTGGACAGATTCTGTCCATTTGATTGTAAAATTGTCTATTTTTTTGCCAAAATGATTGCTATACCCTTATTTTTTATGGGTAAAATAAGTAAGGAAAAATAACCAAAAAAGGAAAAAGAGAGAATTTCATGTTCTCTATTAACTCCACCCACCCCACCCCCACTGCCCGGTCCTTTCCACCTCCATTGGCATGGAGCCTGCACCGTCGTTGCTAATGCATAGTTCTTTATTTTCTTCCCCCTCTTTCTTCTCACAACTACCACCTCCTCCCTCCTCTCATTCCCACTGCCACAAACAAAATCAAAGCACCATTAGTAAACCCACCACGACAGGTTTAAATTCTGAACCAAACCCTACTGTAATTTTCTCTCTTTTTGAATCATAGGTTTCATAGATTGTGGGTGTGTTTGAGCCACATTCTTTTTAAAGAATGCATTTTGAAATAGTAGATTGATGGAGAATGTGTGGTTAAAAAAAGAAAAAGGAATTTTTTTTTAAACACCCCCTGTGTTCTTGATTCATGAAGAAATTTTTCTGAATTGAAGCAATATATTAATCTCCTACTTCTTTAACAGTTGCTCTGATTTGGAAGTGGAATCACTGTCTGGTCATCATTCCAAGAAATGCAAACAACTTCATTTAATTTCACCCCAAAATTAGCAACATCAAGAACTTGATTCAAGCGTGATGAAAATTATCACAGTTCTACTGCAATTATGAGCACTAAAAACACACTAGAAACAGAACAAGTTAAAGATGCTGCCATTTCCAGTTTTGTTAGGTTTTTGCCACGCATTAAAAGTAAAACGAGGTTCCAGAACACAATCAACCTCTACTTCATTTTTTATAGTGGTCGTAGGATGGAGGCAGGTTTGGAAAGTAGGTTGAGGAGGTTAATGCAAAAAAGGAGGCAGGGTTGGGGTGGGAATTGGGGGCTGATTGCTTACAAAAGCCATAGTTTTCAGACTATTTTTGCAAAAATCCCCCGTTTTCTGACATAAATGACAATAATAGTCACTAATTTATGGTACAAGAGTATGTGTGTGAGTCGATGAAAGCTCTCACTTCCAGGAGAAACTATAATTGGTTGTGAGCAATATACAGAATGCTCTTGAAGATGCCTTGGAGGACATTGAGAGATCAATATCAAACAACCCATTTATGGACATTATTTTTCCTAAAATGATATGTTTCACTTGCTGTGGAGTCTGTCTATATCTAGTAGCAGTATCGTTATTTCTCTCTGGAGTGTCAACAAAACAAAGAGGAATGGATTGGGACTTGTGCTGGATTAAAGCTGCATTGCTTACCGCTTAATTAAGTGAAGACTCTTGGGAGACTGAATAACCATTATTTAATTTTTATGGCCGTTGCCTGATGTTTTGCTTTTATAATTTGACAGACCTATGTGTTGGATGTACACCCTTTTAACCCAAGAATTGCTATGAGCGCTGGCTATGATGGGAAAACGATATTGTGGGATGTAAGTTTGTGATTATGATTATTTTGGCAAACATAATTTTGGAATGCTAGTTTTTAATGTATTGAATCCTTACGTGTGATGTATTTCCAGATATGGGAAGGCAATCCAATTCGAGTTTATGAGATTAGTGAACGCTTTAAGTTGGTTGATGGAAAGTTTTCACAGTAAGTAATTTGGAGTACTAAACTCTTTGTGTATTAAAAAGATTGTTCAAGCATATTTAATTTCCTTTCTTTATGTTTGGTGATATCTGTAAAACAAAGACCTTTACTTTTTATACTGTATAATTATTTTATGAGTCTTTAAGGGGGTGGAGTTGCATCTTCTTCACAGGATAAAATTCTCTGGTGTGAATATAATCTATTATAGTCAGTACAAACGGTGTCACTGTTATATTGGTCATTTGTGCTCATAATTTCTATTACATGCTGAAATTATTACTATCTTCAAAAAAACACGCTTCTTTGTGTAGGGACGGGACATCAATTGTGCTTTCAGATAATGTTGGACAAATATATCTTCTAAACACTGGTCAAGGTGAGTCCCAGAAGGATGCTAAATATGATCAGGTAAATGCAATATAACGCTTGATTCTAATTGTTAGTTGATTTTTTCAAAACAACTTTATGAGAACTTTGACCATACATTTCTTTAACGGACAGTTCTTCCTCGGGGATTATAGGCCACTTTTGCAGGATATTCATGGAAATGTTTTTGATCAGGTAAATGATCCTATCTGTTATAATTGATATTACTTCTGGTGAATGTAAAATTCTTGCCTCTACATCTTTAGTATTCTTTTCCTTGCACAAGTATTTGTCTGGTATGTCTAAATAACTGCTTCTCATCCTTTTGTTGTGATATCCTTTACATTTTCACGTGGGCATAAATGTGATGACAATCACATCCAGCTAGTAATGGCTGATTAGAATGATGTCATGTTCACTTTCTTTTATTTCCCAGTTCATTTTCTCCTCTCAAACAATTTCCTCATGAACTTTACCTCTATTATGTTGAGATGCTAGTTAATTCACAACCAACAACGGTGATTTCTTTCTCTATAAACGCATGTGCACAAAGATATGTTAGTCATCAATGCCATAAATCACTAAATGGCCTATCTTGCCATACCTATATAAGCAACAACACCATATTTATGTGAAAAATGCATTCTTTTATTATGTTTTGAGATACAAGAAATGATTTCTCACTTCCCAGCACGGACCTTTCTAGTCTTTCATTCTTCTTCTCCAATGAGTAGAGTGCATTTATCCTTGATAGAGACTCCATAAGTTTTCTGCCTGGAGTATTGCTGTGAGGCCTATTTCACTAGTTCTATATCCTGAAGAGCTAAGTCAGTGATTTTTCATTATAGCATTCGGCGACTCTGTTATCTCTTTTAGCAGTAGTTTTGGATGCTGTATCTTAACTTGAAAACAGAACATATAAGAAAGATAAAGGTAAATTAAGGAGAAGAAAACTTTGAGGAAAAATTGCAGTTTTGGTGTTAGCCTCCAATCTCAAAGTCAACTCTTAGCACCTTCCTTCCTCCAAAGGCTCTTAACAAGGTCATAATTTGCTTTCTGAAAACAGTAGGAAACAGCTGGTAATAAATCATTTTTTTATGCAACGCTAGTTGGGAAGCTTTGACGGAGCTGTGGTTGCTGTTCAGCAGTGCTAATGATCCTGTGCTTCCAACCTGTGAAAAATATCTGTTGTATGATAAGGTGGAAAGAAGGGCTGTTTCTTAGATTTAGTGCAGAAAAATAATTACATTCTCAGTGTTTGTGCAGAAGTATTGGACTTTGGCTCATTGAAAAGGAAATTTAGCTTACTTGTTCCATGGAAGTGGGGAAGTTTAGTCCTTTCCTTTACGCGTGTATCCTTTTTTCTTATTTGGCCCCTGTTAGGTGGGGGATGAAAATCAAATTTTTAGTAGATTTTAATAGAAGTGGATGAAATGTGTGATTGAAAAGTTGCGGGTCCCATGAAATATGTGATTAAAATTAATTATTTACTTTCACAAGATTAAAATCTTGATTTTAATCCTCACCAAACAGGTGCTTGATATACTAGGTATAAGCATAACTCCCTTATACCCTTCGGAAATGATGTCTATGTACATGCAGTCCACACTAGTTTTTTTGTTGTAAGAAATCATGTTGACACAAATTAATTACTTCGATGAGATGGTTTATGACTTTTTTGGGACTAAACTGCTGCACCGGACAAACCAGTTGATAACTGTATTCACCCAGCAAACATTTGACATGTCTACTGCAGGAGACGCAACTTGCTCCGTATCGAAGGAATATTCAAGATCCTCTATGTGATTCAAGTATGAAATGAATTCAATTATCCATATATGTTTTATTGTTCAAGTGTGTACATGAGATATAGTTCTGTTCATCTTCAAGAGTTTCCATTCATAGATGATGTTCTGACAGTGGACACAACATGCCCCATTAAATGGGAAAATTGCAGGCATGCTTCCGTATCCAGAACCTTACCAGAGTATGTATCAACGACGTCGGCTTGGTGCTTTGGGTATAGAGTGGCGTCCTTCATCCATAAAATTTGCTGTCGGCACTGATATTGGGATTGGACAAGAGTTCCATATATTACCTTTGGCAGATCTGGACGCAGCAATTGAGCCACTGCCTGAGTTTGTTGATGCTATGTACTGGGAACCAGAAATTGATGTTATGAATGAAGACAATGATTCAGAATATAATGTTACTGAAGGATATTCCAGTGATGAGCAAGACTGTCGGAGTGATAGCTTGTCCAGTGATCCAGAGTGTAGTGAAGACAAGGTCGGATGGAGTCGAAAGAATAGTCGGTCGCGATCAAAACAAAAGAAACCTGTGATAGAAGTAAGCTTTGAAGTCCATAAGTACCAGTTCTCTTTTTTGTTGGCAATTTCTAAATAACAATTTTCATTGTTTTTCAGGTTGACTCGATGATGTCGTCTGGGAGACGTATTAAGAAGAGAACTTCAGACGAACAAGATGGAATTCTATCCAGAAGTAGAAGATATAGAAAACTTAAATATGGAAAGAGAACTACTTCTAGTAGGAAATCTCCCAAATCAAAGTCATTGAGACCTCAGCGAGTTGCCGCACGTAATGCAGTCAATAATTTTTCCCAGATCACGGAAAGTTCTACAGATGCAGAGGACGAAGATGATTCAACAGGTAACTCATTAGATAGTGAGTCATCATATGAAGGTTCAGCCATTCAGAGACAAGTACTTATTGACAACTTGCACAAGAAACAAAGTAAATATTCAGATAGTGAAAATATATCAGAAAGGCCTGAAGATGTAGTTAAGCCTCTCAAGCAACCTGACTCTCGGGTTAGTGTTGGAAACAAGAAGAAATTGGTGCTGAAATTTTCACTTCGTGATCCTAAAAGCCCTGTATATCCGGAGAATGTTAGGAAACAACTTAATGATCAGGAAGATCTAGCACCTTCAACTTCCCGACATCATGGAGAAAACCCTGAAGGAAACAAGATTTACCTAAGATCGGACGATGTTGGTTCATCTTCCAGAAATATAGATGATAAGGAACTATCAGAAAAATTCAATAGAAGTCAAGTTAGAGAAACTGAAAAATTTACGAATGCTGACAACAATTTGAAGACATCCACTGGATGTGACAATTCCAGTGTAAGTTGGGGAAAATTCAAATTACGCACGTCAAAGGGAATGCAGTTAGGAGATCTTGTGTCTACAAATGCTAATGGAGAAATAGTTAATGGATGCTTATCAACTCAAGAGACAGTCAAGTCTTCATTATCTAACGTGTTGCCTCTTCATGATCATCAAGGAACAGGCAGTGATCCTAGAGTGTTTGACAGTCAAAATCAGATCAAAGGAGGAAAGGACACTAGTTCTCATCTTTGCAGATCTAATAATTTGATTGTAAATGTAAACCACTCTTCTGAGCTACAAAAGAATCCTAAACAGAAATCTACTATACTAAAAATCAAATCGAAAAACATTCTGGGAGACACTAAAGATTCTTTCCAACCGAGAATCATCGCAAGAGGAAATTCTTCCCCGGGTGCAAAAGTCGAATTAACATCTGAAGGTCCCTCCTTGGGAATGTCAATGGCAGGCAACAGGATGAAAGGACCAATGCAACAATCACATTTGAATGGTAATATATTTTGTGAACTTTCAGATGTTAGCCTCCATAATCGAGAGGTAGATGCAGATTTACCTGATGTAGCAACTGATGCAGTGTGTAGATCTAGGTCAACTAATCTTGTGAACCATAACTTTGAGATGTGTGAGAACCATCTACTACCTGGCACATCAAGACGTGGAGAAAATCCCTCTGTGAAGGATCTTGAATATTTCCCTTCGCAGGAATGGGGGTCAATGTCAAAATGCACAGTCCGATTAAGGTCTTCCCGGAACAAAAGTGAATATTACCACGATGAAGACAGAAGTACTTCAGCTGGAAGAAACTCTCACACCGTGTCAAGAAAATCAAATTGGCTGCTATTAGCAGAGCAGGAGGAGGGATATCGCTACANAAGGTTTTCCTCTTGCCTTTTCTTATAGTTTTGCTCGTTCAAATAGAACTGCTATATGAAATTGAAACCATTTTTCTTCTGGTCCTGGAGCTATAGAAAATGAATTGTATTCTTAGCTCTGTTGTTGTTGCTAATGTTACAGGATCGATATGGGATTTTAAAATTGAATGAAGTTGCGCGAAAGTCGGATTTTGTCAACAGGTATCAATTTCACATAATTTGTACCTGCTCCTTTCACCTGTGTGAACCTCAAATGTATCTGTACCAAGAAAAAAATGTTAAAATTGAATTGGGCGAAATAGTCTAACGTCGACATCGACTTTCTGCATGCAGGTTTCCGGTTCCATTATCACCTGATATAATCAAGTTAAGATTAGAACATGGATACTATAGGAGCTTGGAGGCACTAAGGCATGATATCATGGTGATGCTGTCGAATGCTGAATTGTACTTTCAGAGATATACAGAGTTTTCGAGAAAGATGAAGCGTCTTAAAAGTTGGTTTGATGAAAAATTTTCAGAACTGTGATTGGTGTCTGTTGTTTTCAGATTTGTGGGAGATTTACAGGTTCTGTTTTCACATTTGCATTTTTTTTCCTCATATATGAAATCGAAGTCCACAGATGGATTTTTGTGGGATGGATTTTTGGGTTCTTATACGGAAGAAATTACAATCAAGTTGTGTAACCAATGGGATCACAAGGCACCTTGATGTCATTAAAACCATTTATAATGCAGGGAGAATTATTGAAAATGTTGATCTTTGCAGAAGCATTGTAATTATTTGACTAGTGAAGAATCTGCATGCAATATGCATGTTTGGCTAATCTCCAAAAACTGACTTATAAGTTAACTTAGAGTGAATACTTAAGTTTTTAAATAAAAAAAAAAATTTGGTAAAAGTTGAAAACAGTAAACAGTAGTAACTTGTTCGGAATATTAGAAATAAAAAGTTTTTTTATATATAGCTTTTAAAATTAGCCAAATGGGCATTTATCGCATACTTGTGATGTGAAGTGGCTTTCAACTTTATTTTATTTATTTATTTATTTATTTATTCTTTTGTGTGTTTAGGGAGGATATCGAGATTTTCTTAAGAGAGGAGGTAATCTGTGTCATGAGCTGAACTTGAAGTGGCACCACTGGGCAATGAGTGTAGAAGAGCCTTGCCTTCAGCATTGTACAAGTGCTCAATGCTCATTTGGACCATGGCCACACGACTATCATACAAGGCGAGAGTTGGAAGTAAGCTACCAGCATATGTCGACGAGCACTGAGCTTGGTTAGTAGTGTCGGCTCATTCTATCTTGCTCGCCTGCCAACCCATGAATTCTTTAGAGCAGGAAAAAAATAAATAGAATTTGTGGAATGATGTTTCTGTGAGATTAAATTTCAAGTTTAAATGCCTAAAATATAAAATTACGAACGTGTAGATTTGAAATGGGAAGCCATGAAGCCGAGAGTGAGTTGCAATTCTAGGTTCGAAGTACACAAGAGGTTTAGGTTATCATCCATGGTCAAAAAAATTTCTAGGAAATTCACAAGTACTCTCCATTTATCCATCAATCATTTTTATTTATTTATAATTTAAATGGTCTAAAATACTTCTCAAATATAAACAAGTTTGTTTAAATAGTCTGTTAACATTTTTTTTAATTTTTTTTACTAAAGACATTATCCGTTTTTATAAATAAGTTATGGATACTTCCATTCTCACAATAAAATAATTTTATACATAAATAAAAAGATTGAATATTCCAATATATATTGACGGGGATGATTACTAGTATATATATTGGCAAGGGAAATCAGTCCCACAAATCAACTGGATGTTAATAATGCATTCCTACAAGACACTCAATTTGAATGTGTTTATATGTAGCAACCTCAAGGATATGTTGACCCTCAATATCTAGGGATGTCAATTGGGCCGAGTCGGGCTTGGCTCGTGAAAAATGGGCTCGTGAAATCACGAGCCGAGCGGGCCTCGCCTGTAGGTGAGCGAAGCCCGCTCGGCTCGTCGTGTAGACGAGCCGCTCGTGGGCGGCTCGTTTGGACGAGCCACGAGCCGGGCTCGTAGAGCCTGACCGTTCTGGTCACTGAACTTTTGTTCAGTGACCAGAACGGTCACTGATTCAGTGACCAGATCAGTGACCGTTTGGTCACTGAACTTTTTTTTTTTCCTTTTTTCCCCCCATTTTTTTTACTATAAATACCTCCTTCCCTCCAAATTTTTTTTTCATATCAATCTCTTCCAAGATTACAACTCTCTCAAGTCTCAACTATCTTTTATTATATCAATTATCGAGTTTTTACTCTCTTGTGCTGCAAAATATACAATATCAATTCAATTTTTCTAGTTTATTAGTTACAATTTCAATTCATCTAATTCTCACAATCTCACTACATTTATATTCATCTAGTCAAGATTTCATCATAAACAATCACAGAAATGGATCAACGTTCATTTGTTGAGAGCTTGTTCGATACAGGATGTGAGCCATTATCACATCATGGAGAATCGCCTAGTACGCCGCAAAGTCAATTTTCAAATGAATTTGTCGGTCTAAATGACATACTGATACCTGAAGATGTTCACATTCACGGTCAGGGAAGTCACATTCCAATTGATTTGGATGATATTAACGTTCCCGAAGCGGAACATGAAGATGAAGATCGGCAATTAAATATCCCAGATGCGAGGGGAAAGCGAAAGGCCAAAAAAAAGCAAAATGTTGGGATCACTTTAAGTTGATTTCAACGGGAAAAGTCATTGATGGCCTTGCAGAATCTAAAGCAGTATCTAAATACTGCCAACAAAGATTGGCATGGCAAAAAGGAATTGGTACCACTCATCTCAACCGCCACTACAAATCATGTGCAGCCAGACATGGACTTCTTCCAGTTGGTCAAACACAATTACAATTTGGCAGTCCAGGCGTCGGTTCTACAACTTCACCCTTATCCACGTGGGTGTATTCGGAGAACGAGACTCGAACTGGAATGGTGAAATTTGTTGCCGCCACTGAGTTGCATCTGGCTATTGCAGACAACCAACATTTCGTCTCGTTCGTGAAAGAATATTTACAACCGAGGTACGTTGTGGTAAGTCGAAACACTCTTCGTGCCAATACAATAAATTATTTCAATAATTCAAAACAACAATTAATTATGGATTTGCAATAATATGGGGGTGTTATATCCTTAACTTCTGATATATGGGAAGGGGTTAATAAAAGAGCATATATAGCTGCAACCGCACACTATATAGACCCACTTTGGTGCATGCATAAGAAAATTATTGCTTTTAGAATTATTGAATTTCCTCACAATGCTAATAATATATATAATGTTATTATCAGTATTGTTAGAGAATATCATTGTGATAGTAAAATTCGATCTTTTACTTTTGATAATACTAGCGTTAATAAGGTAGTTGTTGATAAATTGTGTAGGGTACTTCAACCTGATTTTGGTGGGTATTTATTTCATATTCGTTGTGTGTGTCATATCTTGAATTTAATTGTGCAAGATGGTTTAAAATATATAAAGGATGAACTTCAAAGGATTAGGAATGCATTAGTTTATATTACGATCTCTCCTAGTAAAAAACAAGCATTTGAAGATTTTTGTGCCGAACTAGGGGTGATGACTGCTAAAACATTTGTTAGCGACGTAGGTCATAGATGGAACTCTACATACTTGCTATTAAAATCATATGAAGGTTTCGAAAGTTTAATAACTGACTTTTATAATAATAGACATGTTAGAAGTGATGATGATGGTGTGTTAAATGAATCCGATTGAATTTTAGCTTTGAAAGTTAAACGATTTTTGACATCTTTTTATGAGACTACAAAGATTTTATCCGACGTTTATTATCCCACAAGTTGTATGGTGCTTGAATGCCTTTATATAATTGCAAGAACATTCCATAAATATAAAAATGATCCTGCTTTTAGTGAAATTTTAATTGCTATGGAATTAAAGTTTAGAAAATATTGGGAAGAATTGCCTATATTATTTTCTTTAGCATGCGCAATGGACTCCCGATATAATATTTCGGGAACTAAATACGTAATTGATCAAATCAATAAAATTTTAATGCTTGATACACCTATCACCTATAAGAATTTAGAGCAAACATTAGGTGGAATGTATGATTTATATGCGGAAAGAATGGGTGCAAATGTTAGTCGGGTACCCTCTACTGCACCTACTCCTTCTGCTGAAACTGAAGAAGATGCTGCGGAAATAATAAATTTATTTCAGGGCATTAATACATTTAGATATGATGCAACTGCAATGTGTACATCTAGTGCCATGTCGTCTACATCTGCATCTCATCAAACATCGGTCGAAACTCAAAATGTGATGCCTGCCGAATTAATTGATTATTTCAATCATAATATGCCAACAGACAGAACAATTAAAAAAACTTCAGAAGAAGTAATTGAATTCTGGCGAAAGTATGAAAGACGTTGGCCAATTGTTTCTACAATTATGAAAGATCTATTGACACCTCCGGTTAGCACTGTTGCTTCGGAGTCTGCTTTTAGTGCAGGTAAAAGGGTTTTGACTGATGTCAGGAGCCGACTGAAAGAAGATGTTTTGGAAGCGTTAATGTGTGTGAAGGATTGGCAGGATGCTCATTTTCGACTACAAGATAAATACGCTGAAATTGCATGTCGTCAGGTAAGTGATATTTGATTTAATTATATTAATCAAATTTTTTATTTATTTTTTAATTGTTAAATTTAATTTTTTTAAAAAAATTGTACACGTTACAACAAGTTATTCGTGTACAATTTTTAACTCCGTCTACTTAAAATTGATGTAGCCGGTCCCAAACTCGAATAAAGGAGGAGGGTTTATATTTTATTAACTTTAAAAAGAAATCAAAAAAATATATTTTTTGTAAATGTATTTCAAAAAATAATTCGTTTTCATTATATAAATATTTTATACTTTATAAAAAGTATTACAAATTACAAATGATGTAAATAAAAAAAATAAAAACTTGTTCTCATTAAATTATTTGTATTTTTTAACACTTTTTATTTTTAAAACTCTATTCTTTATTAACTTTAAAAAGAAATCAAAAAAATATTTTTTGTAAATGTATTTCAAAAAAAAATTTGTTTTCATTATTTAAATATTTTATACGGTTATACCTTATAAAAAATATTATAAATTACAATATGATATAAATAAAAAAAATAAAAATTTGTTTTCATTAAATTATTTGTATTTTTTAACACTTTATTTTTAAAACTCTATTCTTTATTTTCCATATATTAAAAAAAAAAAATTAGGCGAGCCCACGAGCCGAGCTCGTGGCATTAAGGGCTGAGCCGAGCCGGCTCGGCCCATTGCCAACCCTATCAATATCCTTCTCATGTCTATAAATTACATAAAGCAATATGTGGTCTTCGTCAAGCTTCTCGGTCATGGTACAATGAATTTCGCTCCTTTCTTCTTGCCTATGGATTTATTAATGCAAAGAGTAATACCTCTCTCTTTATCTACAATTCGGGAACTCGCATTGTGTACTTGAAGTCAATTCCAGGTCATTGATGAAACCCTTTAGCCACAAGATGGGCCTTATAACGAGCAAGAGAGCCATCTGGGTTTCTCTTGATTCGATAAATCCATTTACACCTGACAATGTTTTGTGTGAAGGAGGGCGGATCAAGGAACCAAGTTTTGTTGATCTGAAGAGGAAGATAGTCATCTTTCATGGCATCATGCCAATGAGAGTGCTTGTTGGCTTAGGTAAATGATGATGGTTCTGTTTGGGAGAGATGCGAGGAGGTAGTGGTATATAGGTTGAATGGTTGTTTTGGTTTGTAGATATTATTTTGAGCACGAACAACCATGCGAGATTTTATGTTTGGTTGATATGAAGGGGAATGAACAGTTTCAGTTTGCTGGGCAGTTTGGTTGATGTCGTGGCATGGGAAAGATGAGTCTTCAAAGATTTGGATTCTTTGAAGGTAAGTATGAATGGAGATAAGATGAATTCATGCCTCATCCATAAGAAGGTCTCTGCCGATTAGTTCGCATATGATTAGGCTGAGAAATCTCTCCATATAAATTGTTGTCTGAACCATGAATATTGTTGTTGTAGCCACCACGATAGCTTCCTTGACTACTACGATTTCCTCGTCGACCATCATGACCTTTTTGTGTCAGCTGTGCAAAGATAAGTTCCATCAGCAAACCCAATAAGGCCATAGCCAAAGAGAAGATTGCTCATTTGGGACTTCCAAGATGAATAATTTCCACCATTTTTTGCAAGCTTGAAAGGAATATAAGAAGAGGCATTAAGGGATATTAGGTTTCCATTGGTAGGAAACATATTACTTTCAGCCATGGCATTTATAGGTGTTGAGACAATTACCAGCTCAGACACTGTTTTCAAGGCTGTTG